GCACAGCGGCCCGGCCCGGCGTCCTGACCGGCTGCCTGACCGGCCTCTCATGCCCTGCCCTCTCCAGGTTGGCTGGATTCTCTCCACCCTGGACCAGCTGCGCTTAAAGCCGCCACCCCCCGTTGCCATCCTTCCTCTGGGCACTGGCAATGACTTGGCCCGCACCCTCAACTGGGGCGGGGTAAGCACCAGGGGACGGCAGGTGTGTGGCGGGGCCTCCCACCGTGGGAGGACTCAGTCCTGCTTCTCCTTCCAGGGCTACACCGATGAGCCCGTGTCGAAGATCCTCTCCCACGTGGAGGAGGGAAACGTGGTACAGCTGGACCGCTGGGACCTCCGGGCCGAGCCCAACCCTGAGGCGGGGCCCGAGGAGCGAGACGAGGGCGCCACCGACCGGGTGGGTCAGCCAAGCCAGGGCAGGGACCCTGCGGGTCTGGGATTCCCGGGAGACTGGAGCTGGGCCTGCCCACCCGCTGGCTCTGGACCTTGGACGAGTCTCCTCCTGACTTCAGCTTCTCCCTCTGTGCGAGGGAAGCAGTCGCTCTTGCCTCCCATCTGGCTCTGTGTGGAGCCACTGTTTTCCCAGTTGGCAAATATTTGCTGAGGACCTGCTACCTGCCAGGCATTGTGCTGAGTGCCCTGGGGCCCTTCCAGCATGTGGCACGCGGGAAGTGTGGGCGATCGAGCAGAGCCTCGGCTGCTTCCCTGAGGGCGGAGGGCCGGCCTGGCCGGGGGCTCTGTTACCGAGTGGGAAGGGCCCCTAAAGGTGATGGGCTGAGCAAGCCTGGTGGCCGCCCGGCCAACCCTCCAGGGAGGGAGAGGCATCTGTGAGGTCATTTTGACCTTTGACCTCTTTCTAGCTGCCCCTGGACGTCTTCAACAACTACTTCAGCCTGGGCTTTGACGCCCACGTCACCCTGGAGTTTCACGAGTCTCGAGGTCGGCAGCTCCTGCTGAGAAGGCCCGGGGTGGCCACGGGAGGGGAAGGGCCCAGAAGTGTCCCCCAGGGGCCTCCGACCTTGTTCCCCCAGCAGAAGTCATTCATTCCCAGCCCTGGTCCCCACCTCATCTGGGACGTGGGGAGCGCCAGCATGCTCAGTGACTCACTGTCCCTCCTGTCTCCACCCAGAGGCCAACCCTGAGAAATTCAACAGCCGCTTTCGGAATAAGATGTTCTATGCCGGGGTGAGTCTGGGGCCTGCTAGCACCGCCTCCCGTGCCTGTCTATCCTCCCAGCCATGCCCCTTGCCCACCTGTGTCTGCCAGGCTGCAGGAACCCTGCGGGCGGTGGTGAAGGAAGGCCCCTGTCACCAGATGGTGACGCCCTCTGCCTCCCACAGACAGCCTTTTCTGACTTCCTGATGGGCAGCTCCAAGGACTTGGCCAAGCATATCCGAGTGGTGGTGAGCCATGCCAGGCCGGCAGGCGGGGGACGGGCCCTGCAGGGAGGGAGGCCGCCTCAGCACGGGAAGCCCAACACCTCTCTGTTTCTCCCTCCAGTGTGACGGCATGGACCTGACCCCCAAGATCCAGGACCTGAAGCCCCAGTGCATTGTTTTCCTGAATATCCCCAGGTGAGGGGGAGAGGGTTCCAGGTCCCCCCTTCCGTCCTGCAGACTGTGTCCTGGAGCCCGTCCCCTGCCCTCCCCTCCAGGTACTGCGCGGGCACCATGCCCTGGGGCCACCCTGGGGAGCACCACGACTTTGAGCCCCAGCGACATGATGACGGCTACCTCGAGGTCATTGGCTTCACCATGACGTCCCTGGTGAGTGGCCCCGGGCCTGTGCCCACCGTGCCCGGGAGCACAGCCCAGGGCAGAGGGGCGTCTTAGCCTGCCGCCGAGTGCTAACAGAAACACCTGAGATTGGGTGGCTTAGAAAGCAATTTATTCGGCTTAAGATTCTGGTGGCTGGAAAGTCCAAAACTGCAGGCCGGCCTCAGGCCAGTCTCAGGCCAGTGTGGTGCTACATCACATGGCGGGCAGGGGCAGAGAGAGGCCCCTGGGGCGGCCATCAGCCAGCCCTCAGTGACCACCCCATCTCACGAGAGAGAGATCTCTCCATCAGGAGACAGGTGAATCCTCTCACAAGGGGGTGGATTCATGGTCCAACCCACCCAGCAGATCTCCCCGTGAGAGACTTCACTGTCTCCTAAGCCATTGTGGGGACCACATTCCAGAGCATGCGCCTTGGGGGCTGGGGTTTTCTAAACCATAGCTGGGGGTCACGCACACGTCCCCCCACTGGCCAGGATCGAGGGTTGCCTTCGCTTCTGCCGCTCAGGCTGATCTCCCCTCTCTGTCTTGAACTTGCCCCTTTCTCCTCTGTGTCAGAGGGCCACCTTGCCTTCCCTGCCGGAAGTCACCCCTGCGTCCCCGACCCCCATCGCCAAGCTGCCTGGGGTTCACTCTTGACCTTTGTTGTCTGACCTGAGAGATCAGACCTTGGGGCTACACCTCCCTCCCCTGCTCCCCTGACCTGAGCTTCCTGTGCCCACAGGCGGCGCTGCAGGTGGGCGGGCACGGCGAGCGGCTGACACAGTGCCGCGAGGTGGTGCTTACCACGGCCAAGGCCATCCCGGTGCAGGTGGACGGCGAGCCCTGCAAGCTGGCAGCCTCACGCATCCGCATTGCCCTGCGCAACCAGGCCACTATGGTGCAGAAGGCCAAGCGGAGGAGCGCCGCCCCCCTGCACAGCGAGTATGCCCCGCCCCACCCCCTCTGGGTGCTGTGAGCCGTGGGCCCACCCATAAAAGGGGCTGATGTTTCCTCTGCTCACGGCTTTGGGGTGAAGCAGGAGGCCTCAGCTCTGGCTCGGTGCCCAGGCCAGCCCTGGCTGAGTCCCTGTCCACCGGCCCGCCCCACAGCCAGCAGCCGGTGCCGGAGCAGCTGCGGATCCAGGTGAGCAGCGTCAGCATGCACGACTACGAGGCCCTGCATTACGACAAGGAGCGGCTCAAGGAGGCTTGTGAGTGGCGGCCTGCGGGGCTGGGCAGGTGCTGAGGAGCTGCCAGGGCCCCGGGTAGGACAGTGCTATGGGGGCGACTGATGGCTGCTCTGTCCTCAGCCGTGCCGCTGGGCACCGTGGTGGTCCCAGGAGACAGCGACCTGGAGCTCTGCCGCGCCCACATCGAGAGGCTCCAGCAGGTAAGGGAGGAGGCCAGCCACCTCCCCAGGCCCCAGCTGAGAAGCCGCTGGCCCAGCCTCTTCCTGCCGATGTGCTCTTGCCTTTGAAGCCACTCTGCTGTCCCCACTGGCCCCACATTCCGGCCCCTCCCCAGCCCTGCCCAATTCCCGCCCTTTGCATCTCTCACAGGAGCCTGATGGGGCCGGAGCCAAGTCTCCTACTTGCCAGAAACTGTCCCCCAAGTGGTGCTTCCTGGACGGTGAGTCTCCCTGAAGGACCAGCTCCCAAGGGCCCTTGGGCGGGGCAGCAGAGGGCCTGGGCTGGACAAGGCCCTCCCTCATCCTTCTCTCCCACAGCCACCACTGCCAGCCGCTTCTACAGAATCGACCGGGCTCAGGTGAGGTGTGCAGCGCTCCCCCTTACGCAGCTGAGCCCAGGGCCCCAGGGCCACCTCTGTCCTCATTCCCTATGATGTGCTCACACTGGTCTAAGTCCAAGAGTGGGCCCTGGAGTGTGCAGGCCAGAGTGCAAAGGGACGGTGCCCACAGGAGACAGGAGCTGGTGTGCTCAGCACAGGCTGGGGGCACCTCGAAGCACAGTGCATCTAGGAAGACACCGGGCCAGAGCTAGGTCACCTGGGTCACCTGTGGAGCTGGGGGGCCCCGTGCAGAGGTCAGGGACAGGGCTTGGGCAGTGGTGGGGTGGAGGGATCGGCAGGGCCACCCCCGGCTATCTGCTTTGTGTGTGTGTGTGTGCGCATGGCTTCAGGGCCGCCAGCTCGGCTGCCCCTCAGCCCTGTCAGGTCCCCGGGAAGGCCCTGACCCTCGGCCCTGACCTCCCCACCCGCAGGAGCACCTCAACTATGTGACCGAGATCGCACAGGATGAGATTTATATCCTGGACCCCGAGCTGCGGGGGGCATCGGCCCGGCCTGACCTCCCAACCCCCACCTCCCCGCTCCCCACCTCCCCCTGCTCACCCACGCCCCGGTGAGTCCCAGCCTCGTTTACCCTGTGTCCCTGCCTTCAGCCCCACCTGTGAGCTGGCATCTCCTGAATCCATGCCTTCAGCCCCAGCTCCTCCAGCACCAGATGCGCCCAGCCATCTGGTGACTGGGTGGCGTCAGCCTGAACCTGGCCAGAGCTACCCGCCCTCAGCCCACGGTTCCGGTCCTTCCAGGAAGTGGCCTATGTCCGCCCTGCACCACAGGCCAAAGGCCTGGGCTCCCTGACCCTGACCTCTCCTGGCACCCTGCTGCTCCCAGCCATTCCTCAGCAGGTCCCGGCAGCCTTCCCCCACACAGCTCTCTCCACCTTGCCATCCTGCCTCCAAGCCGCCCTGCCCCTGGCCTCCAGCTCTGGTCTCCCGCATGTTGTGCTCAGCCTGAGCCTGGCCGCCGCCCATCCCCATAGTCCAGCCTCACTCCTCTCCTGGGCCTTGGAGGCCTCAGGTTTGCCACCTCTGGACTTTCGTCCTTGCCCGGACCGCTCACGGGTTATTCAGAGCTGCCCCGCCCCCTAGGTCCCAGCCTGGCTGGCTGCTCCTCAGCTCTCCCAGGAGCCCCATGGCAGGGGCCGCTGCCCTCCAGCTGCTGCTCCTGCTCCCGTTGTGCATCACGGCCCTTGCTATTCCCCCAGAGGCCTCATTTACCCATGGGCCTGTGTCTCCCAGCCCCAGAGTGCGAGCTCCACAAGAGCGCGTGCACTGTCCGCCCTGCTCGCTGTCTGCAGGGCCTCTGACGGTCTCGATGTGTAGCAGACATGCATAAACTGTTGAAAGAACGTGGGGCCTCCAGGTCGGGGCTGGAGAGGGGACCAGCTGGCCTGCTGAGGCCGGCCACAGAACTCAGCCTGCTCTGTTTGCAGGTCACTGCAAGGGGATGCCGCACCCCCTTCAGGTGAGTTCTCTCCCGGCCCCCTCCTGTCTCCCTGTCATAGGAGTGAGGCTCAGCCGGTGGGGTGGGCTGGGCAGGGCTGGGCTGGGCTTGGCTGGGCTGAGCTGAGACAGCCTTACCCAGACACGTGGCCACATGCATGCCGCAGCCCAGCCCTCGCACACGTGCCCCGGCAGGCACACTTTTCTGCACAGTGAAGTAGCACGTGCGTGCACCAGCACGGCCTGGCTTCCGACCTGAATGTAACAGCCAGGTGTTCTGTGCAGGTGAAGAGCTGATGGAGGCCGCCAGGAGGAACGACTTCTGTAAGGTACTAGCTCTGGGGCTCCAGCCTCTTCCCCTTGGCAGCATCCCCCCCCCCCAGCATT